CTTCGATGCAACGTTTTCTTTGGTGATGAAAAGGCAATTGTGAATTTGAAACGCCCTTTGACGTGTTTCAAACTTTCGATACTACTTAGTTTACCGCCGCGTTTTCGAACAGTTGGAGGGCGCGGCGGTACATCGGCCCGAATGAGTATGTGCTGCGCCGTCCCTTTGGACCCAGCGAAGCGGGCCGAAGCCGGGTGGGGCGGGGCAGGCCGGAGCGCGAGTCCCACGGCCCCCTCATGGCGCCTCATAAAGTTTCGTCGAGTTTCGCTTCGGCAACAACCCGACCTAACCTGGCAGGGCTGAGGGGGGGGGGGCATGTTTGCCAGTGCGGGCTGCGGTCGTCGATACACAACATACACATGAATGGCAACTTTTTCTCTCTCTCTCTGTATCTCTTTTTTTGTTGTTTCCTTTTCATTACGAAATATACATGTTGCAAGTGCGGCAAGTGATTTCAAAATAAACCTCGTAAAATAGATTATGCAAATACGTGCCACTGCGTTCGTATGCCATGCGCGTCTGATTCTGGGAGCAGCCGATTCGTAGCGGGAAAGTGGTTGTCGCATCGAAGGAATATGCCAAATTGAATTTGCAATTTTTTAAAACTGTGATATTATATAAAGCTCGTTGCTGGCGTAACAAAAAGAATATATAGTTTTGCTGATCGGGCATACATTACATCTTCGCTTCCCAGGCTTAATACGCAGTGTGACAATTGCCAAAGGAAATACTTACTTATATTGTGTAATTACTGCAAACCGTAACCAGATTCCAGCATTCGCAGTCCACGTAGCGTCGCATGAGTGAACATAACCCTAATATCCGTTCCCATCCGCCGCCATCCCCGGCCCAGACTCACAAGAGCCCGGCGCTGCTATGCTTCGCCAGAGCTGAGTTTGGGTACCGACTGACGATGATAGTCCGTCGTACTCGTCCCCGCCTCCCTTAATCTCAAACAAAACACTAGAGCCAGCCCCGCGCGCCTAGCACCGCGCTAGAACGAGCGCCAGACCCAACTATACTGGCAGCTGTACTCCTTCCACCCCCTCCCTCCTTCCTCCACCACCCCCGTGAGCCCATGGGAAATTCTGTTGAGTTTGAGATTCCTCGGTGGAAGCCCCCCCTCCCCCT